TAATTCAGACACTCAGTAAAGATACGATCTGTGTCTTCAAGCTTTTATTGCTATGTGATGTTTTGTTGCTCTCACATTTTAATGTTGCTCTCAAATTTTATTAAATAATTTTACCTATTTCTTTTTTGTTTCATAGTAAGTTTTAATTATTTTTGTTTCCCATTATTGTTGGAACCTGGTAGGTGAAAGTTAGGATGTAATCAAGCAAATACATGCATGCATTGGTTCACAGTTTGAAAGCTCTCAACCTTATATATACCTATCCAAAGTATATCCTATTAAGTTGAATGTGCTTATCTGAAATAATTAGGCAGAGGATTGGAGCTTCAGTCCAACTCAGCTTGTGTGAATCTTCTGTACTCATTAATTGCTATTTTCAACAGAATGACTCACAAAAAAAGCTGAGATTTCTCTTGCAAACAGCCCACACCTCTGAAAGCAACTGTCAGGTCATTTATTTTTAAAAGAACTGCAAACTCTCAGGCTTTTGTACTTAAAATAACCATGTTCCCTTTTTTAGTACTATAGACTGAGTTGATCATTGCTCAATGTTAAACTCTTGTACTGCAGGTTTTGGCAGTATCAGAACTAAGATCTGAAGTTGCTAATCAGCAAAATGTCTGATTCCCTTTGTTGTACATAGCACTTGAGGAGCCTTTAAGCCAAACAGAGGCAAATACCAAATGTTAGAACTCCAGTCTAATCACTAGGTTAGTTAATCCTGAAAGAGAGACTGCTACAGTATTCTTTGAACTTTTCACATTCTCCATGGGAAGTTAGTTTATGTATTATTAATACTTGGTAAGCTAGAAAATGTTAAACCTTTATAAAGTTAACAGAGATTTCATGAGATAGTTCTCAAGAGATAAGGTTTCAAAATACAAAGTTGTTCTCGGAACAAGATATGGTTCCTATGTGAATTGGATGTGGAAAGAGTACCAAGCAGGGATTGGCCAAGCTTTGTTGGAAATTATAAAACTGAATGGGAACTGTAGCACTTGGAGCCATCGCATGGAATGAGGTACTGCACACAGCTGGCATCCTGTCTTGATGCTTCTGGAATTCTACCCTAATCTGGACAGCTAGAATCTAAGTTAACTACTGTAGATATGTATAGTTACATATGAGGGAGAAAGTTTTTAATCCAGTATGTAAACAGTGAAAGTTGTAAACTTGTATTTATTTCTATGTATTTTGAGGTTCTGGAAAAATAAAAAAGACAAATAGCACTGGAGGTTTATAAAGACTATCTGTCTAACACAATCGTTCTGATCTTTGGAAAGTTGAAATTCCGAATTCTTGAAAAATTGTGTTGAAAGAAGAGGGAAAGCACTACTTTAAGACTGAAACACCTAATGATGATTTAAGCTACTTCAGGTACAAACTGGGGAATGAGACAAAGGCAACATAATGAGGGCATAGATGTGTCATTAGGGGATATGAAGATAAGACCCAACCTAAGAAACAGCAGCTGGGGGAATTGGCTTCAGTGATCAAGATTTTTAAAGCCTCATACATTCTGCTATGTTAAAAGCAAACAAATCTCATTATGGCTAGTCTTGTGTGAATCAAGTCTTGTTTACTTCTGCTTCTAATACATCCATACTATCTCTTTTCCTGATATATATGGCATTTCTCTGCATCCTTATGATTTCCCCATCCCATCATTCCCTTGATTGCAATTAACAAACAATATAGTATTGGAGAAGCAAAGAAGGAACAATTCCATTTCCACCTTAATCCAAACAGGACTGCTCCCTGGAACGGGCTATTTATTCATGGTTTTGATGAAGTGCAATTCAGGATGGCTTTTAATTAAGTGAGGCAAACCATTTAGACTCATAACCACTAAATATATGTTGAAAATAGGATACAACATGATTTTATATCTCTTGGCTTTCTTGAATCAAACTTGTTGCCAGGGCTTTGGAACAATGAAAAGAATGAACTCTAGCATGTACTTTTGTGTAAAATCAGTGAGGGCTACATCACTACTACAGTCATCCACACTGCTTGTAGGTGCTAAATCCACATCCTTAATCACATCTTCAGGAGATGAGGTCAGTAACTGCCATTTTACAGAACTCCCCCTCCCACACACCTGTCGCTCTGCATAGCTTATATGCATCTGAACATCTATCCTCAATGTACCCTGGGCCTAATCTTTTAAAAAGATATCAAGAATGTCTCTTTCTCTGAGTATTTGCATAATTAAATTTCTATGACTGGCATTAAAAGTCATGCTAAATTCCACAAAGGTTTATAATTGAGTACATGTGCATAGGAATAGGCTGGAAAAGTCTTGTTAAGATTGCACAGTGTTTGTTTAAAATGCCAGGGTTGGTTCTGCTACTGGATGGACAACATAAAGCTTTGGTAAGATGACAATGTAGGAAGAGAAGACTTGCAATTGCCCACCACCATCCTCTTTTTGGAAACAAATGGAAAATCCAATGCTTAGTTTGCAGAATGCATACCTTTCAATACCAGTCCAGTTCCCAGAGGAGCAGAGTAAAATAAAGCTCATCTGATCCTCAGGGCAAAAAGGAGAAACAGTTGTTTCCACCCTCACTTTAACCTTACGGAGTCAGCCTCTTCTATTCTGAACATCATCGAGCCATTTTCTGATTAAATAAAACAGTCTGACCTAAACATGTCATTTCATATTTTGCTTGAGAAAGGCATCGTGCCAGCAGAATACAAAAGGTTATTAATCTGCAGAGTTCCAATGCCCCATTCCTCACTGAGGTTCCAGTTGCCAACTGGCCAGAGAAAAAACAAAACAGTTTGTTCTTATGCATTCACTGTAGATCAGTATTTCTCAACCTTGGCAACTTTAAGACCTGTGGACTTCAACTCCCAGAATTCTGGGAGTTGA